CTGCCTATCTGACCTCCCCTCTCACCTCTCCCCCGACTCTGGCCACATTGTCCCCTTTGAGCCTTTCATATTTGGCTGGTTTCTTCAACCACAGGGCCTTTGCACTCATGACTTCTTTCGCCTAGAATGTGCAACCCCCGCTTTCACCCTGTCATCTATCTTCTTCATCCCAGCTCCCAGGGCCTGGCTGGGCCTTCCCCATCACACTCTCATGGGGCCCAGCGATTCACAGCATGACCTCCGTGCCTGGCAGACCACAGGCTGCTGCTGAATGTGCCTCCTCCTGGATGGGGAAAGAAACCCCTGAGCAAACCTCTTCTCGGGGGCGGGGGGGGGTAGCAAGGGGACTCCAGGCAGCAGGCTCACCTGCCCCAGCTCTTCTCCCCTCCTGCCTCAGGGGATCCATGCTCTGAGGAAGGCTATTTTTAAAATCAGGGAAGTCTTTAAATAAGCGTAGCAGCTTTTCCTTCTCTAGGGCGGGGAGGAAGTCTGAGGTTGATGAAAACCACCACCGTGACAGCTCCGTCACAGACCTTTAGCTCCGGCAGGAGGGGCTGCTTACAGGCTGAGGAGTTTAACTGGTGGCGCAGGTCCCCCTAAAGCCATGGTCCCCAACTCTCTTTCCTTTTCCTATAGGGATAGGAACCCTCCTGACTTGGTAGATGAGCCGGTTAACCTGGCGAGATGATGGCGGGGCTGCATAGAAATGAGATGGGAGATATTTTCAGGAGTGGAACTGTAATCATTCCAACTATCCCCAGAATACCTGCTGTTTAATATTTTCTGAGTTCTGCGCAAAGACCTTCATCACACTCCGCAACAAGCCCATGAGGTGGGGACTGCAATGTCTCTGCTTATGGATGAGGAAACTGAGAACAGAGAGGCCAGTGACTTGCCCCAGGTCACACAGCCAGCAAGAGGCACAGCTAGGATTCCAACTCAGGCTGCCCAGGCCGGCACCCGCTCCTCCCGCGGCACCCCTCATGAACACTGCCCAGCCCTGTACCCTGCACAGCTGGAAAAGCCCCATGCTGGGAAGGGATTTTGGAGCAGTGCTTCTCAGTAAGAAATCATGTTCCATACCCTGCCTCTCAGTACACACTGCCCTGTGTACAAACATTCTATAACCAGCACTACAGTTACTAGGTGAGGCGCTCTTATTTTCCATTTCATTCTATTTCTTTCTTTCTATCTTTCTTTTTTTTGAGACAGGGTCTCACTCTGCCACCTAGGCTGGAGGGCAGTGGCATGATTAGGACTTACTATAGCCTTGACCTCCTGGGCTCAAGAGATCCTCCTACCTCAGCCCCAGAAATAGCTGGGACTACAGGTGTGCACCACCATACCTGGCTAATTTTTTGTATTTTTAGTAGAGATGGAGCTTCTCCATGTTACTCAGGCTGGTCTCAAACTCCTGATCTCAAGTGATTCACCCACCTTGGCCTCCCAAAGTGCTGGGATTACAGGTGTGAGCCACCGTGCCCAGACCTATTTCATTTCTTAAAAGGTTGATTGTAGCTCACTTAATGGATTTCAGGACCCACCAATGGGTTGAGTTTAAAGACACAGTTTTGCAGGGACATGCTCTGCCTATTTCCCTGGGAATGACTGACAGGGGAGTCTGGTCCAAACCTGTGACATCGGTCATGTCATCCAGGAGCAGGGACTGTGCTATTTGTTTTATAAAAGTGTAGAAAGAAAAAAGAAAAAGTTATCCAGGTAGAAATGAAGAGCTGCCACCCATGTGACTAGGTCCCCTGAGCCAATGTCTAGTGATGCCTTGGCCATGGAAACCACAGGACACAGTGCTCAGGGTATCCCTCTTTCCTCCTGCAGAGGGAGGGGTCCCCAGGCCAGGCCGCAAGTTGGAATCACCTGGCAACTTTAAGGCACCCTGAAACCTGGGTCCTGGGCTCAGAGTTTCCAATTCAACCCCCCTGGGTGTGGGCTGGGTGCTGGGGTGGTCCGTGTACAGCACAGGTGGGTGAGGAACCCCAGCTGCACCTGGGGCCTGTGCACACCTCATGAGAAATGAGCCCAGGAGCTGCAGGGAGTTCTACACACACCTGGCTCTCAAGCTCCCCAGAGGTGGCTGCTGAGTGCAGTAACCTGCGCTGAGGAACAAGGTCAGCTGATGGCTGAAAAGTCAGTCCATCCTCATGACAGAGCCAGCAGCTCCCATGTCTTCAAAGCAGGCTGGAGCTGGGCACCCGGCTGAGTGCTTTCCACACGCAGTCTTGTTTAACTCTCACCTCAACTCTGTGAGGTTATGTGATCGTTCCCATTTTACAAAAGAAGAAAACTGAGGCTCCGAGAGGTGGGAGGGGAGCAAGGGGCTCTGAGGAGGTGGGAGGGGCAGCAAGGGGCTCTGAGGAGGTCAGGTAAGCCTAGCTCCGCAGCACTGCAAGCCAGGTCTGCACATGGCTACAAACCCCACCAGCTTCTCTTCCAGCATGCTGTTTTCCTCTCAGGAACTAGGAGAGCTGATGCTCGAAAAGCTCCGAAGTCATCTCATTGAGATGACTTTTTCCAAAACAATTAATTCCATAAGGGCAGATCATGAAAAGGAACATGTTCTTTAAACCAGTAAGAGGCTTATTTGCCACAAGTGGTCCTGGCCCTGTTCCCAGTTCCCCAACAATGCCCTCCTGACAAGCCCTCCCAGGCTAGCCTGGTATGGGCTTCTGACAAGTTCCACCAACTCATCCCTGCAACCCCCAGACTCAAGTTCACACCCCCAGCTTGACCTGCTGCCATTTACCTCATGAACAGACCTTTAGCCTCGATCTATTGCTTTTAGTATTACTATTGTGAAAAGAGGAACAAAAGAAAGGGAAATAAATTCATAACAATCTCAGCACACCAAACTTATGTATCATCTACCTGTCTACCTCTTTCTCTCCCATCTGTCTATATCTTTTATAATTATAATCAAAGACAGTAGGCCAGGTGTGGCGGCTCATGCCTATAATCCCAGTACTTTGGGAAGCTGAGGCAGGTGGATCACTTGAGGCCAGGAGTTTGAGACCAGCCTGGTCAACATGGAGAAACCCTGTCGCTACCAAAGTTACAAAAAAAATTAGCTGGGGATGGTGGTGCATGCCTGTAATCCCAGTTTCTTGGGTGGCTGAGGCCCAAGAAGAGTTTGAACCCAGAGGTGGAGGTTGCAGTGAGCCAAAATTGTGCCACTGCACTCTAGCCTGGGCCCTGTCTCCGAGAAAAAAGACAGCAAACAATTTCGTATCTTATTTTTTACCACTATGTGCATCAAATTCACACCTATTCAGAGGCCAGAAAACTTACCAAGGAGTCAAATGGTCTCATTATTGCATTTTGCATGGATTTTACCCATTCTGCATGGTTTTATGGTTTTAAATCCGATTCTAAGGCCACGTTTTATCACATGTTAATGTCTCTGAAATCTGGATGGGCCTGACAATTGATCAGTTTCAGCCTTGTGTTAGTTTCTATCACAGTAAATGGCAGCACATGCTTGTTTCGCTTCTCTTCATGTTACATAAAATAAGGCGCATCTACAGACAGCGTTGCCTCATGTGCCGAGAAACATGGTGCCATAAATTGTACTTTTACTTTATGGTTTTTTTTCCCATAAGTGAGATGACCAGGCTTGAATATGGGTATTTTCAATATTCTTGATATAGACTGTCAAATTTTGTTTCTAGAACAGTGCTATGTACGAGTGAGCTGATTTCACCACAGTCTAATCATCATGAAGCGTTTCTGAATGTTTTTTGGTTTGCCTAATTTAATAGGGAATGACAAATGAAGGAAAAGCATGTGCAGTTCCCACTTAACCTTTCTTCCATGCTGACTTTCTTATTAAGGGTACCTAGTGTTCCTGCGGCTCCTCTTACAGTTACCAGCGTCATCAATTTGATGAAATACACAATCACCATCCTCATCATCCTGTGCTCACATTTGCTTCTCAGACTGCCCCGCTTACCCCTGCTGCTGCGCTGAGCTTCCTGCTCTGCCCTGGCCAGCTTGGCTTGTCCAGGCCCCCAGAACCTTGAGGAAAACAGCTGATGTGGAATCAACACTTCCTTTCTACCTTGCCCTCCTCAGTCTTTACAACCAGTGCCCCCAGACCCAACCTGTATCCCAGATATTAAAGACACAGTCTATTTTCTACTGGAGATGGCTCTAAGATATGGGAGGAAAGCATTTCCTCTGGAGTCAGGCCAGGATGAAATCTCAATTTCTTTTTTTTTTTTGGAGATGGAGTTTTGCTCTTGTTACCCAGGATGGAGTACAATGGTACAATCTCAGCTCACTGCAACCTCTGCCTTCCAGGTTCAAGTGGTTCTCCTGCCTCAGCCTCCTGAGTAGCTGGGATTACAGGTATGTGTTACCATGCCTGGCTAATTTTTGTATTATTAGTAGAGATGGAGTTTCACCATGTTCTGGAACTCCTGACCTCAAGTGATCTACCCATCTTGGCCTCCCAAACTGCTGGGATTACAGGTGTGAGCCGCTGTGCCTGGCCTGAAATCCCATTTCTACCACTATCTAGCTGTGTGATCTTGAGAAGTGACTTTACTTCTCTGTGGCCAAGTGTCATTACCTGTAAAATGGGCACTAAGGGAAAGCCCTGTGTGGGCTGAGCACTTGCCTAGCATTCTGAGACCATTGTCTCATCAAATCTTCCCGACAATCCTTCAGGGGCAGTGGTGAAATAATCTTTTCACTATTTTCCAGATAAGGAAACTGAGGCTCAGGGCACTGAAGGACACATAGTTATTAACATGCACACAGTTATGCAGGGCTGGGATTCAAATGGTCTGATGTGGATGATCAGGGTATTTGGAGGTTTTGTCAGGTCCTTTCACAGCTTTTCGTCATTGTGATTTTAAGTATTTCAGTGCAGCGGAAACACCTGAACAGGTGTGTTCTCCGTCTCCCGTCTGAAACACCAAACAGAATTATTGTCTCAAGGCTGGGATATCCTCTAATGCTGCAAGACCACAAAATCCATTTACCTTTTCGTCCCAGGTGGTCATGTCCCTGTTGCTTCTGGATCTGAAAAATAAGAAGACAGTTGTCCAGATATGTCATCCTGCTGCCATCTACCTCGGTATGTGCACTGCAAATCTTTCTTACAGATTAGTTTTAAGTTAGTTTAAACTGTGTCTGAAAGTAGTGTAAAGTTCAAAGTGTATGCAGGAGGGCATACATCCTGAATATAGAGCCAAATGAGCTGAAACAGGGACTCACACCAACGCGTATTTGTATGCGAAAGTTCGTAGCCTTTCACAGCATTATTCTCAACAGCCAAAAGGTGTAAATGACTCACTTGTCCATCAAAGGGTGAACGGATCAACAAAGTGGGTCTAAACACACAATGGAATGTTATTCAGCAATAAAAAGAAATGAAGCAGCAGGGTGGGGTGGCTCACACTTGTAATCCCAGCACTTTGGGAGGCCAAGGTGGGTGGATCACCTGAGGTCAGGAGTTCGAGACCAGCCTGGCCAACATGGTGAAACCTGTCTCTACTAAAAATACAAAAATTAGCTGGGCATGGTGGCGGGCACCTGTAATCACAGCTGCTTGGGAGGCTGGTGCAGGAGAATGGCTTGAACCAGGGAGATGGCGATTGCAGTAAGCCAAGATCACACCACTGCTCTCTAGCCTAGGCAACAGAACAAGACTCCATCTCAAAATACATAAATAAATAAAAAGAAATAAAGTACTGATACATACTACAACGTAGATGAAAGAAATACAGACGCTTTTTTTTTTTTTTTTCGGTCTGTAAGGATCAGTCTTCGCAGTGGTTATCTTTGGAAGAAAAGGGAGCGATCTGGGTGTGGGGTTTTCCTTCTCTGCCTCTGGGAGGCGTGAACTTTTACAATGAGGTGGTGTTACTTTAAAACATTATTTTTAACGTAGATGATCTATACATGTAGTAAAAAATTTAAATTATACAAAAAGATATTCTATGACAAGTCAGTCTCCCCTCTACCCATTCTCCTTCCCAGAAGCGGCCGCTCTGACCCATTTCCGACCTCACCTTCTAGAGTATTCTATGCCCTCACAAGCACATGAGTATATACTCTCCCCCGATCTTCTATTTTTTTCCATAAACAAATGTGAACCCACGTACTGCTCTTATTTCCCTTTAGGGTGTGGTAGGCAAAATAATGCTCCCCTTCAAAGATGCTCACGCCCTAATCCCTGAACTTGTATGGTATTACTTTACATACCAAAAAGGATTTTGCAGATATGATGAAGTTGCCGCTCTTAAGATGGAGAGAATGATACTGGATTATCCCAGGGGACCCAATGTCATCAGAGGGGTCTTTGATAAGTGGAGGCAGGAGAAGAGGTGTGAGGGCAGAAGCAGAGGCTGGAGTCAGAAAGATCTGAAGATTCGATGCTTTAAAGATGGAGGATGGGGCCTCAATCCAAGGCACGTGGGCCCCTCTAGAAGTTGGGAAGGAAAGCAAACAGATTCTCCCCCAGAACCTGCAGCAGCAACACAGCCCTGCCTATACCTTGACTTGAGCCCACCGAGATGGATTGTGGACTTTTGACCTCCAGAACTGTAACATAAATGTGTGTTATCTTAAGCCACCAAGCTTGCGGCCATTTGTTACAGCAGCCACAGAAGACTAACACAGTATCTCAGAGGTGGTTCTATGCCAGTGCATTCTGCATGAAGTGCACGCCTTGTCACGGCTGCACAGGAGTCCCGTGCAGGAATGAGTTTAATCCCACTAGTGATGGACACTTAAGGTTGTTCCCAATCTCCTCCTACCCCAATGCTTCAGTGAATAACCCTGCATACCTTGTTTGTTTTGGAGTTGAGGGTCTTACTCTGTCACCCTGGCTAGAATACAGTGGTGCAATTAGAGCTCACTGCAGCCTCAAACTTCTAGGCTCAAGGGATACTCCCACCTCAGCCTCCTGAGTAGCTGGGACTATAGGCACATACTACCATGTCCAAGCCTATTTTTACAGAAAGGGGGTATCTTCCTATGTTGTCCAGACTGGTCTCAACCTCCTGAGTTCATGTGATTCTGCTGCCTCAGCCTCCCATGGTGCTGGGATTACAGTTGTGAGCCACTGTGCCAGATCCCTGTATGTAACCTCTCTCTCTATATATATATTTTTATCTGAGACAGTCTCACTCTTTTGCCCAGGCTGGAATGCCGTGGTGTGATCTCAGCAACCTCTGTCTCCCAGGTTCAAGGAATTCTCCCGTCTCAGCCTCCTGAATAGCTAGGATTATAGGTGCCCACCACCACGTTCAGCTACTTTTAAAAATATCTTTTTAGTAGAGACGGGGTTTGGCTATGTTAGCTAGGCTGGTCTCAAACTCCTGACCTCAAGTGATTCATCTGCCTCAACCTCCCAAAGTGTTGAAATTACAGGCATGAGCCACCATGCCTGGTCTAATTCTAAAAAATTATTTTGAAATAAACTTTCATAAAAATTTTTTAAAAAAGTTATTTCTCTCCCCACAGTGCCAAGCTGAGGGTGCAAGGGACTCTCAGAGTTTCTCGCTGCTTGACTGGCAGAGCAGCTTCTGCACCCAGCACAGTTCAGCTGTGCACTGAAAGTGTGTGGGCCCATACCAGCCCCCTGGGACCTTCAACCTGCTCTCACCAGAGGGGCTCAAGTGGAGCCACCAGCACAAGAGGAGGTAAAAGGAAGCATTAAGGTGCCCTGGAGATTTCCTTCCTTTGTAAGATAGGAACTAGAACCAGCACGCATGCAGAGAAACACTCAGCTTCAGCAAGTCAAGCAACAGAAAATTGAAAACTACCATACCCTTCTCCATTAAACTAGCCAAAACATAAAAAGGATAAAACCCAATGCTTGCAGAGCTGCAGGGAAATGTGCACACATTCCTGGGGATGATTTTTCTAAATAGCCACCTGGTCACAAGAGGTAAGTGCCTTCAGAACGATCCCACCCTTGACTTGCATACCTCAGTTAGGAAACTGTATCTCCCAGAAGTCATTTGATAGCCAAAAACATGCACAATATGGATAATCACATTTATAGCTAAGTTGAATATTACGGTTAAAGCCTGGAAGTGGTCCTCAAGCCCTACTTTTTCCTACTTTAGGGAAAAGCTGAGGAAGGCAGTGGGCTCTTGGGAAGAATAATTCTGAGGTCTCTACAGAAATGGGAGGAAAAAACGCTGTCAAGCATTGAGAAGAAAAATAGACTGATAGCTGACACACTGCCTGCAACTATACAAAAATATCTGGCCGGGTGCGGTGGCTCACGCCTGTAATCCCAGCACTTTGGGAGGCCGAGGCGGGTGGATCACAAGGTCAGGAGATAGAGACCATCCTGGTCAACATGGTGAAACCCCGTCTCTACTAAAAATACAAAAAATTAGCTGGGCATGGTGGCGCGTGCCTGTAATCCCAGCTACTCAGGAGGCTGAGGCAGGAGAATTGCCTGAACCCAGGAGGCGGAGGTTGCGGTGAGCCGAGATCGCGCCATTGCACTCCAGCCTGGGTAACAAGAGCGAAACTCCGTCTCAAAAAAAAAAAAAAAAAAAAAAAAAAAAATATCTGAGTCTTTTTCTAGGTGCCAAGCACTGATTTCTCAGGTTCTGGGAAATCCAAGGTGAAGAGGCAAAGGCACGTTCAGGAATCGCGGTAGGCTGACATGTTACCTGGGGAGACAAGGAGGAAAGGAAACACACGAGACAGCCCACACTCCCAGCTAAGCACTGGGAAGCAAGCTAGCCAGCCAGACTAGGGGGCCAGGGAGCAGGCGGGGTCTCCTTAAGTTAGAACTTGCTGCTGGCCTAGACTGTGGGAAAGGGAAGAGGAGACGGGGTGATTGGGGACAACATGACATTTATGGTGTCTCCTGAATGACAAGGGAGTATGTCACAGGTTGCAGAGAAGAGCATTCCCGTGAACAGGAAGAGCATATGCAGCATACACAGCCCCTGAGAGAGCAGAGAACTTAGGAGGAGGTGGCGGCTAGGGACAGGAGTGGACAGGACAGTGGCCAGAGGGAAGAATCAAGAATAATCACATAGGGCCTGATCACAGAGAGGGCTTGGCAGGTGATGCTGGAGATTTGGGTGGGAGTGAGGGGTCAAGGATGACGAGGAGGCAAGAGATGCTGGGGTGTGAACTCCGGGTGGAAGCAGGGGGTAGAGGAGTGGCTGGATTCAGATATGCTTTGGGTTAGAACTTGCTGCTGGCCTAGACTGTGGGGAAGGGAAAAGGAGAGGGGGTGGTGGATGACAGGTCCCGGGGCCCAGTGACTAAGAAATGATCAAGTCTGGGGCAAGAACGCTCTGGCTTCCTCCTTCTTGCTAAACCAGGGGCAGGGAGGGCAGAGGGCCACAGAGCAGCTCTGGACCTTGTGCAAGCAAGCCTCAGCCCAGAGATTTTCAAAACCCTGACCTAATTTATCAGCCTTTACCTCTGGGGAGTCAGAGCCAGAGAAGTTGCCCGTCCCCCACCACCTCAGTCTTACTCAAGCAGCTCCTAGTTGCTGGTGGGGCTGTCCGGAAATCCTGCAGATCTCAGATAGCTCTGAACAATCTGAAGTTAAAGGTGCCCAGGACAGAGAAGTATTCTCAGAGGGGCAGGAGGGAGGGTGGAGGCACGGGAACCATGAACTTTTGGTAGTAACGTGGTGCCAGGGGTGCACCAAGCATCTCCTGTCATCTTCTCAGTAATACTGTGAGGTAGGCACATGCTTAACCCCAGAGGACAGATGCAGAAACTGAGGCACAGACAGGCCAAGTCACTAGCTGAGCCTGCAAGAGCCTCCACACCCAGCACTGGTAAAGGTGGTGGGAGAACGTTCCTAGTGGGGGTTTCAATGAGGAACTGCTCTCCCCTGTCTTGGCTTACCCTGGCCTCAACACTCTTGTTCCTCAGTATCTCAGTCTCCAAGAGGTGGGTGTTTTCAAAGTGTTTCCAGGGAAAACTTTGCTGCCCCGGGGCTCCTCCCTCAGGGATGGCTGGGCCCGCTCACTGCAGCCTTCTCCCGGGACACCCAGCACTGCCTCTGTCCCTGCTTCTCTCCCTCAGTCTCCAGGGAGGGCGGCGGGGAAGGGACGATGCATCAGAGGACTTAGAGGACACAGACCTGGTTGTGAGTTCTGGCTCTGCCTCCTGTGGCTGTGTGACCCAAGGCAAGGGGCTTGGCCTCTCTGCGTCTTGGTTTCTTCACCTGTAAGAGGAAGACGACGATGGTCACCTGTGGTTGCTGCGCGGATGGTGAAGACCTGAAGGCACCTGGCCCGGGGCGGCGCGCAAAACGAACATTCAAGGTTGTGGGGGTGTCACTGGGGCCGGTGTCTCCCGCCTCCCCCTCCCCGGACTCCAGTCCCCGCGGAGGGGAAGCACTGCCCGCCCGAGCCGTCCGCGCTGGGACACGCCAGAGCCGAGGACTGGGGTCCTGCACGCGATCCGCGGCGAGGCCTAGGCAGCGGAGATCCAAGGGGGTCCCCTCTTCTCGGAGGGATCTGGCACCAGGGGTCTTGGAGAAGGGGCTGCACGCCAACAGGAGTACTCCCTCCGCCGGCCCGAGAACTTACCCGTAGCCCCACCTGCCCGCGGCCACAGCAGCGACTGGGAGCCTCGGAGTCGGCCCGGCCCGGCCCGGCCCCTGCCAGGCCCCGCCCCCGCACCAAGCCCCGCCCCCATACAGAGCCCCGCCCCGCGCGAGGCCCCGCCCTCGCTCCCTCTGCCCCCTACTGTCCCCCACTGCCCGCAGCCCTCCAACGCTCCGCGGGCGTCTAGGCCTCGGCCCTCGCCCGGGTCTCAGTCCCCTTGTCCCTGCCTGTGGTCAGTCCACCGGTTCGTCCCCGACGGCCGCCTTGCGCACCGCAGGCTGGGCTTGGGCCTCCCGCAGCTCTGCAGACGGACAAACGTCCCGCCCGTGGGAGCGAATCGCGGATCACGAGATTCCTGCCCCGGGCCAGCCTAAGGGAAGGGTGGGCGGAGGGAACCACTTCCTTCCTCCGCCGGCTGGAGCGGGAGAATCCACCCCCAAACCCCTCTAGTGGAGCTTCTGCTTCATCCCGCCGTCTCTGGGCCGCCCCTGCCTCTGGGTCTCCTGATTCCTTGGGTTCGTCCTCTGGACAGTTTCTGCCACGCAGGGGTGGAGGGTGGGCAGCATGTTCTAAGGAGTGAGTAAACCTCGCAGCCCTCAGGACTTCCCTTGGTCGGGGGCCTGAGGCTGCTCAGGGGATGGTATTGTAAAGGGAGCCTTCCCGTCTGCAGCCCCTGCCTGGCCTGGGCCGCCTTGCTCCTGGCCAACTTGTATGCCCCGCAAGCCCAGCTCTGAAGTCCCTTCCCTGTGGGCCCTCCCAGCAGCCTGTTCACCCAGGGGAATCAGTTCTGTTAGCTTCTGTCTTCCCTCAGAGACCGTTTGTCCCATCCTGCAGAACCGTCTTCTGCACACCTCTCCCTTCTGCACACCTCTCCCTTCTGCACGCCTCTCCCTGCTGGTTGGGTCGGGGCTGTGGGGAGAGGCTCACCTCCTTGGGGTTGTGTTAGTTTCCTCAGGCCGCTGTAACAGATCACCACAAACCCAGTGGCTTCGCACAAATGTGTTACCTTACAGCCCTGGAGGCCAGATGTCTCTCATGGGTCCTACAGGGCCAGAATCAAGGTGTGGGTGGAGCTGTGCCTCTGGAGGGCTGGCTCCAGGTTAGTGTGTTCCTTGCCTTTCCGGCTTTGAGAGATGCCTGCGATCCTTGACTGCCTCTATCTGCCCTCTGCCTTCTCCCTTTCTCTTCTAAGGAGCCCTGTGATTATGTGGGACTCACCTGGATAATCCAGGCTAATCTCTCCAGCTCAGGACCCTTCATGTGTACAAAGTTCCCTTTGCCACTTAAGGCAATATACAGGTTCATGGGGTTAGGATGTGAATATCTTGGTACGAGGGTGCATTCTTCTGCCTCCCATAGGGGTACTGTTTCCATGGCTTCAACTGACTCGGCTTTCCCCAATCCTGCTGGGCAGCTGGATTTCTCCCCCCGCCCTTTTTTTTTTGAGACAGAATCTCACTGTGTCGTCATATTGGAGTGCAGTGGTGTGATCTCGGCTCACTGCAGCCCTACCTCCCAGGTTCAAGCAATTCTCCTGCCTCAGCCTCCCGAGTAGCTGTGATTACAGGCCAGCATCACTATGCCTGGCTAATTTTTGAATTTTTAGTAGAGACGGGGTTTCACCAGTCTCTGTCCAAAAAGTCATGCTGGTCTCGAACTCCTGACCTCAAGTAATCTGCCTGCCTTGTCCTCCCAAAGTGCTCGGATTATAGGCGTGAGCCACTGCGTCCGGCAACAGTCTCACTTTGTTGCCCACTCTGGAGTACAATGGCAGGATCTTGGCTCTCTACAACCTCTGCCTCCCAGGTGCAAGCGATTCTCCGGCCTCAGCTTCCCAAGTAGCTGGGATTACAGGTGCCTGCCACCACACCTGGATGACTTTTGTATTTTTAGTAGAGATGGGGTTTCGCCATGTTGGTCAGGCTGGTCTTGAACTTCTGATCTCAAATGATCCGCTCACCTTGGCCTCCAGTGCTGGGATTACAGGCATGAGTCACCATGCCCAGCCTGCTGCAGGCTTTCTTAAAAACATTTTGGTCTGATCTCCTGATTTTCGGTCACGTATTATTACAACAGTCCTATGCCAGTTCCTAAGGCATAGTCTGGTCCATTTTAAACATCAACTTCCTTATATTTTATTAAAAACTCTCCTCCTCCCCCAGGGCCAACTAGACATAGTGGAGAGGATATGGGGACTACTCCTGACAGCTCCTGCTTGGTGTTCACTCCCCTCTGGTTAAGAAAGGGGAAAGGGAACAAGTATCCCATCCCCTAGCTGCACATCTTGAAGTTGCAGTCCTCTGTCTTAACATCTGATCCTGCCTGTAGTTAGATGCTTAGTGCAGACAGGTGGTGGCCTCAACAGGCCCTGCAAGGCTCAAAGCCTGGCCTGCCTGGCTGGACCCTCTGGCTGCCTTCCCCTACTCCTTCCCCTCCAGAGGCATCACTCTGTCTTCTCCAGTGTACTTGCCTCTGCTCCACATTGCAGTGGCCCTGGGAAAGTCTGCAGCTCCCAACCTTACTGATGTCCTGGGACCTGGGGCCACCAGCAGGAACCTATGTCCATACTTTTTGAGAACCAGGATCTCAAAGGAGCAGATCAGCAACTCTAGAGAATTTGGTGATGTTCACAGCATTGCTGTGTTCACTGAAACCCTCTGACTGCTCAGGCATTTCAGTGGAGAGGAAGGATCTCAAATGTGTTACATCGTTATCCCCAGGCACAGGGTTTGACCCATGGTAGGTACTCTATGTTCCTATTGCTTAAGTTAATGAGTAGTGAGCATAATAAGATTGGGGTGCCCTCCATCATTGCCACTATTCAATATTGCATTGATGATCTCAGTCGATGCAGTAAGACAAGAAAACAGAAATACAAAGATTGAAAAGAGAAAGACTGTCATTTGCAATCTGTGTGATTGTCTACCTAGAAAATCCAAAAGACCTAACAGATTAACAGGTGACCACCTACTGTGTGGTAGGCCCTTTCAAGGTAGTAAGTATACGATGAAGGAACAGGCTTTGTTCTTCGTGAGCTCCCATTTTAGTTGGGGAGGTGAGGCCAACAATATTAGTGGAGAGGGCTAGGCACGGTGGCTCACCCCTGTAGTCTGAGCACTTTGGGAGGCTGAGGCAGGAGGACTGCTTGAACCTATGAGTTCAAGACCAGCCTTAGGGACAGACAAGACCCCATTTCTACAAAAAAAGTTTTAAAAAATTAGCTGGGCATAGTGGTGTGCACCCATAGTCCCAGCTACTCAGGAGGCTGAGGTGGGAGAATCTGTTGAGCCCAGGAGTTTGAGGCTGCAGTGAGCTACGATTGCACCACAGCATTCCAGCCTGGGTGACAGAACAAGACTCTGTCTCTAAAAAAAAAAAAAGAAAGAAAGAAAACCATAGGGAAGAGTAACCTGAGGTCCACAAAAAGAATCCAGGAGATCCATGAACTTGGCTGGGGAAAAAAATTAAGTCTTTATTTTCATTAACCTATAAGTGAAATGTATTAGTACTCTGTTTAGAGACAGGGTCTTACTTTGTTGCTCAGGCTGGAATGCAGTGGCAGCGTGAGCACAGCTCACTGTAGCCTCAAATTCCAGGTTCAAATGATACTCCTGCCTCAGCCTCCCAAGTAGCTGACACTACAGGCACATGCCACTGTACCCAGCAAATTTATTTTTAATTTACTTTTATTTTTTGTAGAGACAGGGTCTTGTTTTGTCTCCCAGGCTGGTCTCAAACTCATGGCCTCAAGTAATCCTCCTGCCTCAGCCTCCCCAAATTTTTTTTTAAATTGGGATTATGGGCATGAGCCACTATACCTGGTCTTTAACTGAAATTTAATATTTCCTTCAATTATGAATATAGGTAAAAAATGCAACTCTAGTTGCATTTAAAAAACTGGCCGGGCAAGGTGGCTCACGCCTGTAATCCCAGCACTTTGGGAGGCCAAGGTGGGTGGATCACCTGAGGTCAGGAGTTCGAGACCAGCCTGGCCAACATGGTGAAACCCTGTCTCTACTAAAAAATACAAAATTAGCTGGGTGTGGTGGCACGTGCCTGTAATTCCAGCTACTCGGGAGGCCGAGGCAGGAGAATCGCTTGAACCTGGGAGGCGGAGGTTGCAGTGAGCTGAGATCCTGCCACTGTGCTCCAGCCTGGACAACAAGAGCAAAACTCCATCTCAAAAAAAAAAAATCACTAACTCTGTCATCAGTTGAAATCACAGATGTTTTTAAAACACAATACAGTTACTGGAGATATCTCAAAATATAACTAACAGGTATCATTACTTCAAAATTATAGTAGTTACTGAACCAGCTGTTAGTTCTTATAGTTTAACGTGTACTATAAGAATTTCATCTATTTATTACAAGTAAAAAAAAATTAAAACTGCAATGCAAGATAGCTAGCGTCATTTGTGATACAATGCATTCATTCCGTTTTATACATTGAAAAGCATTACTCTTGGAAGAGGTCCGAAAGCTTCCCCAGTTGTCAAAGGCTCCAGATTACAAAAAGATTAGAAACTACGTTAGAGGAAGAACTTGTTCTGGTTTGGGCTATGCCAAAGCAGTTCTCTTAAACTCCAGCCTCACCCCTGGTCCTCTGCATTTCGTACCAAGCAAGGAGCCCAGCTTGCTTGAGTCGATGTTCATGGAGCGTGTACTTACTTATTTAGGGATAGGGTTTCGCTCTGTTGCCAGGCTGGAGTGTAGTGGTGCAATCACTGCCCACTGCAGCCTTCACCACCTGGACTCAAGCTATCCTCTCATCTTAGCCTCCTGAGTAGCTGGGACCACAGGCATGCATCACCACACCTGGCTAATTTTTATTTTTTCCGTGGAGACAGGGTCTCGCTATGTTGCTTAGGCTAGTCTCAAGCTCCTAGGTCCAGGGGATCCTCCCGCCTCGGCCTCTCAAAGTGCTGGGAATCTAGGCATGAGCCACTGTACCTGGCGACAAGGAGCATTTAGAGGAAGACCTGAGTAAGTCCTCGGGGACTGGGCCATTTGCCTGGGCTCCAGGACAGCTGGGGCTGGGCCAGGACAGTGGCCAG